GACACAGCCCGCACCTGGCCTGGCCCTGCCACCCCACCTTCAGCATGGAGCCGTTCTGGAAGACGTGCTGCTCGTCACACACCACGCAGTACTCGTTGAGCGTCGGGATCCGCTGCTCCGCGTACTTCATGATCTGAGGGCAGGACGGAGGGAGTCAGGCCCTGCTGCAGGCACGGGGCCTGGGGCATGCTCCAGGCAGTGGGATGGGGATGAGTGGGACTCTGGTCAGTGGGGAGGATGATATGGGCAGTGGAGTGGGGATAAGTGGGATGTGGGGCATTGGGGAAGATGTTCTGGGCAATGGGATGGGGCTGAGTGGGACGAGAAGGACGTTCTGGGCATCAGGAGAAGGATGAGCAGGACATGGGATGGTGAGGAGAATGCTCCAGATGGCAGGATGTGGCTAAGTGGGAAGTGGGCCAGTGGGGAAGGATGCTGAGGGCAGCAGGCTGAGGATGAGCAGGATGCAGGACTCTCACCTGCACGAGGAAGCCGTACTCCAGCGTGGGGATGTTCTTGCAGTGGCCGCCAACCTGTGACGGAGCCAGAGCGGGGCCAGCTGCGTTATCCCCCTTCCCACACACAGCCCCAGCTCTGCATGGCACGGGCAGCCCCCAGGCCCCTGGCACAGCAGGACCCCTAAAACACCAAAACCCTGGCACAGCAGGACCCCCAAAACACCAAAACCCTGGCACAGGAGAACTCCTGACATTCCAATGTGCCCCAACACAGTGAGACCCCAACATGGCAACCCCTTCCCAACACAGCAGGACCCCCAACATCCCAACACTCCCAACACAATGGGACCCTTGACATGCCAACACCCCTTGGCACAGTGGGACCCCCAACATGCCAACATTCCCTGCCACAGCNTGGCAGGGTGGGCACAGCCGGACTCACACAAAGAAGAAGCGTGTGCACACGTGGTCCGAGACAGGGCACACCCAGATGTTGCCGTGTTTCTGCAGGTCCTTGGAGGTGATCACTGCTGGGGCAAGGGGCTGTTGGAGGCGGGATGGGGCACAGAGGGCCTGTCCCTCCATCCCTCCACCCACCTGGTGACCCCCAGGGTGCTGCTTGTCCCCCCCCATTATCCCCCCACATCCCCTCACCTTCGCAAAGCGCGATGCAGTTCAGGTTGCGGCTCTGGAGGAAGCGGGACTGGATGGAGCGGGTCTGCGGGAAGAGCAGCCCGTGTCACCACCCTGTCCCAAACACCCATGGGTGCCATGTCCCCATTCCCATCCTGCCCCGGTGTCCCCTGGCCCATCACCTGGGGGATCGTGTTCATCCGGTTGTAGCGCTGCACCAGCTCATCCTTCGACGGCATCCGGTGCTGCCCTTTCCCCATTCCTGTGGAGGAAGCAAGGCAGGGGCTGTCAGTCTCTCAGGGAACACCCTGGAGTGACAGAGGGACACATGCCACAGACAAGGATTGCCACCCTCAGTGCTCCTGAGCCCTGGGAACCCCCCAAAAGTGTGTGCAGCAGCTTCTGAAGCCTAGAAAATGCTGGGAGTTGACTCTTATGAGTGTGGGAAAGCCTGGGTGAGGAGAGGCTGGTGTGATGGGATGGATATGGGATGCTGCCACTCCTGAGCAGCTTCTCCAGCCAGCACGACGCCAAACCTCCCCAGGCCCATGCAGGGAGTGGGAATGGGAGCACAGGCAGGACTGGGCAGCACAGGCAGGACTGGACAGTGCAGGCAGCCTCTTACCTGAGTATCCAAAGGAAATACTGGAGATGGGGCTCAGATAGATGCCCTTGCCATAGGCTGCTCCATGCAGCTTGCAGGAAAATACCAGGGTGAGCGTGGTGGGATCACCGTGACAGTTCAGGCATGGTGGTATTGGAGGAAGCCTGGCACTTCCCAACATCTGCTCCCTCCCTGCCCTCCTGCCCCCTCCCTGCTGCCCCGGGTGTGCTGGTGCAGGGAGCAGCCCGGTACCTGCAGTTTGGTGTAGGAGGCGTTGACCAGCCCGTTGCGGAGGATGGAGTGCCAGTTCTCAATGTGAGAGCCACTGCAAAGAGCCAGCCCCACGTCAGCCATCATCACCCTCAGCCCCAGGGCACCCACCCGGGGGGCTCCCACCACCCCCTGCCCGGGGAACTCACTGGAAAGCGAAGGTGCTGCCGTAGAGTTTCTTGGCTGTGCGGAACCGAGCTTCCTTGGCCGGGGGGCTGCTGAGCAGGAGGAACTGGTGGGAGGTGTGCATGAACTTCAGCTGCTACCAGGGCAACGGGAAGAGCAGCGGCAGTGCCGGCAGGAGAGAGGACGGATGGACGGACAGACAGACAGACAGACAGAGATCATGCACGGCCGCCGGGCCCGGGATCCAGCCCAGCCTGGCTTTGGTGACTCCAAGTTTGCCAGAAGGGTCCTTTGCATCCCTGCCTTGTCCTCATCCCACAGCCTGTGTCAAACATCCCCCTTCCTGTATCCCTGTCCTGACTCCCCTATCTCCCAGGCTAGAACCCCACCCAGAGGGATCCATCCCACATCCCAGACACTTCCACTGCCCGTCCCACATCCTTACCTGCCTCATCCTGCATCCCATCTCCTGTAGCCCTCCATCCCACCTCCCATATTCCACACCCTTTATCCCACACCCCACCTGGAGCCTAGCCTGGCCCCTTACCCTGCTGAGAGGCAGCTTGACAATGTGGGATCTGTTGCTGGAGATTATCCTTGGGAAGAGGAGGAGGAAGAGGAGGAGAGTCAGAAAAGGTGGTCCCAACCTGCCCTGAGATCGTTAGATGCTTGTGACCCCCCCCAAAAGAAAGGTGATGAGGGGGTTGTGCCCCAGATACCTGGCTGCCCCCACTCCATCCCATGTCCTGGGGAATGTGGGACAGTGGGAGGGACAAGGGGCAGCAGGAGAGGGCTGCACAACCCTCAGCCTTACCACTGCAGGAGGGGATGTGCCAGGGGGTCCAGCTTGTCCATCTGCTTCTTGATCTCCAGGTAAGACCCCTGGCAGAGGCAAGACAGGGTGCAGGTGGGTCTCCCAGCACCCACCCAGCCATGGGCAGATGGAGATCAGCACCAAAACGCCACTCCCAGCTTGGGTCCCACACTGGGGAGGTCACATGGGGCTGTGGGACCACGACACTTACCTGGGTCATCTCCCGGATGGACATCACACTGTCCAGGGCCTTCTGCAGCCGCTCGTAGTTCTTCTTCTGCACATGGGGCAGGAGAGGAGTGGCCATCAGAGGGGTCCTTGGGGCTCCCCGTCACCCCCGGGTGTGGGGCAGCATTGTCCCCCCCCAGAGCTTACCTTGGGGTTGAAGGCCAGAGTTTTGGGGTCGTTGGGGTCCACCACGGAGGGGTAAGGCTCGAAGATGATGCTCTTGCGAGGGGACTCGAGGGCAGCGCGNGGATGCCTGAGGATGGCACAGCCAGGTAACCCATGGGTGTCTGGCAATGCCATGGCCAGGTGACCCAGTGATGCCACAGCTGAGTGCCCTGGATGCAGCACAGCTGGGTGTCTGAAGATGGCACAGATGAGTGCCTGGGGCTGCCACAGCTGGATGCTCCATGAATGCCATGTCTGGGTGCCCAAGGACAGCACAGCCAAGTGCTCAGGGGACGCTGTGGCCAGGGCCCTGGGGAGGGTATGTCTGAGCAATGGCTCAGCCAGGTGCCCTGGGGATGCCATGGTCAGGTGCCCCAGAGATGGCACAACCAGATGCCTGGGGATGCTGTGGCCAGATGTTCTGGTAATTCCATGGCCAGGTGTCCCAGAGATGGCACAGCTGGATGCCTGGGCATGGCACAGCTGGGTACCCAGGGATAACACAGCTGGATACCTGGGGATAGCACAGCTGGGTACCCAGGGATAACACAGCTGGGTACCAGGGATAGCACAGCTGGGTACTCGGGGATGGCACAACTGGGTACCCAGGGACAGCACAGCTGGGTACCTGGGAAATAGCACAGCTGGGAACCTGGGCATAGCACAGCTGGGTACCCAGGGACAGCACAGCTGGGTACTGGGGATAGCACAGCTGGGTACAGGAACAGCACAGCTGGATACCCAGGGATGGCACAGCTGGGTACCAGGGATAGCACAGCTATCCTGGCACAGCCCAGCTATGCAGCTGTGCCTGGCAGTGCCCAGGGCAGGGCAGCAGGGCACCCACCTGACGGCCACGGCATTCTCGCTGTAGATCTCCTTCA